AGTGGTCGCCAGTCGGCATTGGCCAGCGGATGGAATTCGGAGGAGGCCTAATCTGTGGGATCTAATCGGTCTATTGGAGGTAAGAGCAATGTATACTGATAGGGGCAGCTGGAGCCCACCCCTATGTCCAGATGTTGTTTCCTTCTAAAATACGCCTCCCTCTGTGTTTTCCTTGACAGCTTTCCAAAATAGCAAAGTGCTGATTAACTTCTGGAATGGCCGGACCAAGACAATATCAGCAGATGTTGCTGTGAAGATCCCTCTTCCATTGTATGAGCGCATTGTTCTTGAGCTTCAGATGCCATTGACAGCCAGGCAGCTGTTAGTGGAGCAGAATCCAGATTATCCTTCTCTTGTGCCACCTGGATACAGGGCTTCTCCTTGCAGGCATCATCATTTACCTTGGGTGCCTTGGCTTCAGACTCAAAGCATCCATTGCACTGGAGTCTGTGGGAGCAACACCCATTTCCCTCCTTGGTCTTTCTGCTGCCCACTACAGCATCACAGTACATCTCCAATGAGTTCAACATGGGCAGAGGATACTTTGGTACCAAGAGTCAGCCCATCAAAAGAGGAAGCGAGCAAGAAGTTAGAAGACCAACCTTCGAAAGGCAGACCTCCCACTTTGGAAAATGATAAGGATGCCAAAGGAGATAGAAGCAAACTAAAGAAGGAAACAAATGTAGCAGACGCAAAATCTTGGGAAGAAGTCAAAGTTTCAGAACCCAGCGAGGTACAAGATTATGTTTATTAGCTTATAGCTCACATCTCTGGCAAGAAGTCTCCCCGCTTCCCCATTCTCCAAAGCAATTATAAACAATTGCCAGTTATTGTTAAAAAAAATGTCCTAAGCTGAACGTCATAGGATAGTTAAGTATTTCCATCCTTTATTATAATCAGTGGTACTTTTTTCTTGATTTTTGATAGGACCAGAAAGGGATGGATTCAGAAGATACAAGAAACAATGCTGGTACCATGGTTGATATAGTGACCAATGCAGGCAAGTGGACGACTCAACAAACCCAGAAATGTGTGCAACTATAAGAAATGTGGGGAATTTTTGTGACTTACTGATAGGCATTGAAACTAACGTATCAGCATATTTTACTCTAATCTTTTGGGCACATTCAGCTTCACATCCAGGAGATCTGGTGATCTCACGGATCAGCAGAAGGGCCTCTATTGCCCTCTCACAGGGGAATAATATTTCTGTGTATCGAGTATGAGTGAGGCTCCAGGGATGCTAACCTGAGAATCCCTCTTTTCTTTAGATTTGTACACTTACAATATTGCCATGGCTTCATTGCATATTTTGTTGTTATGATATAGATCCAGGGTGGGTGGGTATTCACTTACTTTCCCTACTGGTGTGCAAATGTGATCATGTGTGCTTCACTCGCTCACACCTCGTCCACACATGGACTCGGCCATCCACGCATGCGCTTTGGCTTGAAAACATGCCTAAATAGGATGGCATAGAGCCGAGGCAGATGGCCGGGCCCACCTACGATTTCCACTACCAATTTGGGTGAACCGGTCCGAACCGGCTGAATACTACCTCTGATACAGATGTGATTCTTTGTACTCATTTTCTTTTCTGATGAATTATAAGATACGATTATCCCTGAGAAAAAGGTTACTGTTGAATCAGTCCTTAAGCTCAATGTTTTTAACAGACATCAAAGGAGGGAAGTTGCATTAAAACACAATACGTTCAAGAATAACCAATGCCCTAGAAACATTCTCATTTTTTAAAAAGGGGAAAACTACACTAAAGGGATTACTGTAAGCTAGAGTGTGAGACACACAACCTTCAATTATCAACTAAATCCTGAGATAGCGAAATCAAAGAGGAGGAATACTGGTGGTTGCATCAAAGTAATATCTGAGGATTTTTCATCTCTTCAGAGACATCAACTGCATAAAAGAAACGTACCTTAGGCCAAGTAGACATCTACAGCTCCATGATGCTTCCCCTTTTCAGATCAATGTCTTCATCATATCTACACCATTATTGTTATTTACCTGTGCAATGAATGCAATTATTTTCTTTTGACAGGTTTTTTGCAGCCCAACGTAAGTGGATCTTCAACCCAGCTTTCCCAAAGAAATACTTCTCAGAAAACTTACTTGGCAAACAATTCCAAACTTCAGGCAAAGCTTGACTGGGTGAACAAGTCACTGAAGAAAGATCGTGTAGCTATTGAATCTGTTTTACACATGAGAAGGAGCTACAGTGCACCACCATCTGGACAGGTGAGAATACTCCTCCTCCCATCTATACATCTGGACAGGTGAGAATACTCCTCCTTTTGTCTATATAATATTAGCTGGATACCTGTGCTTTGTAACGAAATTATGTGATCGGGCTATGCAGGAGAAATTCAGTTCACAATCCATTGTCTCAGCTGTGGTCGGTGATTAAAACACATAAGCCTTGAGTCCAGAAGCAGTTCCATACGTGGAAGACGTAGACATTTTGGTGAAGTACATTTTGTTTAATACTGCAAGGAGCCCCAGATCGCTCCTGAGTGAAGGAGTGGAACATCTGTCAGTTTGAACTGAGGTAATGGAATGTGAGGCAACTGGCAGTTGGAACAGAGTTCATTTCAGGTGTGGAGGGGGAGTCAAACTCCTTAGCATCAGCATGTTAATTATTGTACATGAAATACTAATGATCTGATGGTCATTTTAAAAAGTCCTTTCTTAGCAAGCATCTAGAAGCCAAGAGGAACACACATGCCAAATTTCAAATTTGTAGGCTTTATGGTTCTGGAGATTTTGTGATGAGTGAGTGGTATTTGGCTTTTATATATATAGAAGATTGCAGGGAAGGGCAACTTTTGAAGACCACAATTGCATACAGTTCATTCATGAAATACTAGCCCTAAAGTGTCTGAGGGACACCTCAGCTTTGCTTTGAGGTGAAGACTAACAGACAGACTTGGAAAAAACCTATCCTGCTACAAAGCGGTCTTTTTTTCAGAAATTGCTGGAGAAGGGAACCTCTAGGGATGGTCCCAGAGAAGTGGATGCCAACCCAGCTAAGATAGACTTCAAACGGCAGAAGTGGGAGCAGAGACAGCTTAGGAAAGAGGAGCAGCAACAAGAAATCCATCTCAAAAGGGAGATGCGGCTTGAAAACAAGAGGTAATAGAGCGGTGCAGCCCCAAATTGGGTAGAAGACAATAATCTGAAGCCAGATAGATATTCTTTGATTTTGTTTTCAGTTCCTGTGACTTATGGGGTATAATATTCTTTACAAATAAAATGTTCTTGCTTCAGCCACAGCATGGGAGGTTAAGTTCTACCTATGTCAAAAACCTGAGATCTCCTGGTCCTCGTTGTAAAAATTGAAATAGTATTTATCAAACATCATTCATCTATTGGTAAACATATGAAAATGGAACAGAATTGTTAAAAGAAATAGTAAAAAATCCTTTTTTAAAATGGCTGTCGATGAATAAGGTTATTATGTTTCTGATGGTGTTAGATTTCATCCATTCCTATTTAGTATTTTCCTATTATATGTATTAGGACGCAGTGGCTCAATGGCTAAGATACTGAGCTTGTCGATCAGAAGGTTGGCAGTTCAGCGGTTCAAATCCCTAGCACCG